TCCACCAGGCTCAGGCCCCTACACCTTTGGGGTGCAAAAGAGATGACTAGGTTGGGAGTCTGAAAGCCCAGGAAGCCCAGGAATGTTTAGGTGAGGGAATCTATGTTGCCCTGGGGCTGGGCATGGAGTCCTCAGTGGATACCCCTCTGGGGGAGGGGAGCTCCTGCGATACCATCTGTTCCTTCTCTGAACCCTTCCCAACACCCCCAGTACACTTGCACAGCCCCTCGTGATCGCTTTGCTCACCACCTGGAGAAGCTCCAATTGAAGAAACCATTATTATTCCCATTTCACAGATATGGAAACTGAGGCTCACACTGCCCCATACATTTCCCAGAATGAACAGAAATGAAAGTCAGGCTGCTGCCTCTCCTCTTTGCAAGTCCTGCTTCTTCTTCCCATGCTGCACTGCCTCCTGGGTGGGTCAGGTCTAGAAGCCATTATTTCCATCCCCATCCCTGGTGGAGACCCAAACAGGGCTGGGCTTGTCCAGTTCCCTGCCTGGCCAGCGACCATGGGTGGATGGGGCAGGCAAAGCTGTGGGCTGAGTGTGTCCTGGCAGCTCAGGAGCAGGGACGCTGTCACCATCAGGGCTGCTTCCTGGGTGCTGTGTTCACCAGGCCAGGCGCCAGCCAGTGGCCTCTTCCATCCACCTGGCTGTTGGGAGTTGAACTGCAGCTTGGGTGAAGTGGGTTCCCTGACAGGAAAGGTGGTGGGTGGAGCTATTACTTTAAATAATGTCACCTGCAAGCCCAAAATAGGTCTCCTGGGCAAGGAGGCAGCTGGAGAAGAGGGAAAGGGAGCTTAGATGAGCCAGAGAGGGACTTCTCGCGGCTGGCACCGCAGCCACCTCCCATCACAGAGGGACAGAGGGACAGAGGGACCGACGCCCTGGGGAGGGACGGACCGACAGCCTGTCACCTTCTTCATTGCCCCAGCTGGGGTCTGGCTGAAGCAAACGCACAGAGTCTTCCGCAAAAATTGACTTATTAAAGTTTAAATTTCACCACGCATCACTGGCATCAGCAAACAAATCCAGATCCAACGAGTCCCTGGTGCCTCTTTTTATAATGTATACTTAAATTATACACACAAAGTGCATTTTTTTTTTAAATTTTATTTTTAAAATAAAAGCAGTATATGTATCTGATAAAGAAAACCGTGATGGCACAGAAAGACATAAAATCAGAAAATAGAAGTCCCCCTCCCTGCTTATCCTGGATACTTCTCCCAAAAGGGAGATGACATGTTCCTGGACGCTCCATCTTGGAGGAATTTTCTGTACACAGGGGTGTGTTGGTGTGATCATTTGCGTGTGAGTTTGCATATGTGCATCTGTGTATATACATATGAATGTACACACTATTTGAATTTACTTAAATGATAACATACCAAATAGTACATTATCTGGCAGTCTTTGACTTATGGAGAGCAGTGGAAAATTATTAAATTTTTTTTAAATTTTATTTTAATGTGTTTGGTACAGGATCTCACTATGCAGCCCAAACTTGTAGCGATCCTCCTGTTTCCAGCCTCTCCAGCTCTGGGATTACAGATGTGTACCACTATGCCTGCTCTTGGTGACCGGCTCAGTGCTCCCAAGGGCAGGGCTGGCGTGGCATGTCGCGCTGGGGCTCAAACCCTGGTCCCTGGGCTTGCCTAAGCAGGCACTTAGCCCTTAAATTATTTTGATTGGGTCAGTTTGCATGATCTGTGACCTTATTTAGCCCCTGGTGACCTTCTGACCTTATTCCCGTAATTCCCTCACACCCGTGTACCTCCCGGGGAACTTTCTGCGGCATCCCACGTGAGCATCCATCCATCCCTGGGATGCAGCGTTTTTTACTGAGCCAGTCCTGTATTGATGATAATTTAGTTTGTTTCCAGTTTTTCTTTGTTTATCTCTGTGATTAAAAGTAATGCTAGTAGAAATATCTTTCCACATATTTTTATCACGTAGCTGCAAGAATATGTAAAAAGGCCGGTTCCCAGAAGGTAATCCATGGGTCAAAGAACTGCGTTCGGATTGTGAGAGACGTTTCCCCAAGGGCCGGGCCAAGTTACAGCGCCACCACCAGGCACGCCTGGGGATCCGCGCGTCCCTCTCGCTACCTACTGCCGGCTCTCTCTGAAAGTCACTGACAGTCTGCCACAAAGGGAACATTATCTTGCTTTGGCTTTGAATTTCTTTCATCACAACAAAGGTCGAGCCTCTTTTCATGAGTTGAGCAGCCATTTCTATTTATTTTCCTCCCCCCTGGTGCTTTTTAATTCTATCTGATTCCATTTGTGAAGGTAGAGGGCCCCTCCAGCCTCTCCCTGCTTCTTCGCCCCCTCAGATGGCCATCGCTTCAGAGAGCCAGTTCCCCCCAACCTGCCTTCTTGCTTTGGGAGAGATGGAGCCTCAGGCAGGCGTGAGCGCTTGGGATGGGGATGCGAATAAAGGGAAAGGAGGAGCTGCTCTGCCAGAGCTCGGGCGCCTGCTATCTCGCGGGTCATCACACTGTGCACAGTCGCGAGGGACAGATAAGAGCAGCAGCCAGTGGCGGAGATCAGGGCGCAGGCAGCGGGAGGTGCTGGATGATGCCGCAGAACCAGAGCAAATGCGGCACCTGCCCAGCTGCCAGCCAGGTGCAGCCGACCTAGCGCGGACGGGGTCCTGGGGGCGTGATCTCCGCGTTGATTGGCTCGCTTCTGGGTTTGGAGTCAGGCTCCGTGGGCCTCTGCCCAGCTGCTTCTTCTTCCTCTTTTTTTTTTTTTTTTTTTTCTTTCTTTCTTTCTTTCTTTCTTTCTTTCTTTCTTTCTTTGTTTTCTTTTCTTTCTGTGTGTGTGTGTGTGTGTGTGTGTGTGTTTTATTTTTTATTTATTTATTTATTTATTTTTTGCAGAACCGGGGATTGAACTCAGGCTCTTGCACTTGCCAGGCAAGCGCTTATTCTACTGAGCCATCTCCCCGGCCCCAAAAGGATTTTTTGTTGTTGTTGTTCCTCGAATGCGTTCAGGGCACTTTTGGCCAGAGGGAGAGTTCTGAGGTTCCAACTCCAGCAACCTGAGGCTGACAGCTTTGTGGAAGCAGCCACTTAAAGGACTGAGCTAGGGCCATGCCCCCTGTGTGTGTATTTTAGTACAGGATCTACAGGGTCTCACTACACAGATAGGACTCATAGTGATCCTTCCTGTTTTCAGCCTCCCAAACGCTGGGATTGCAAATGTGCGCCACCACTCCCAGTCTCAATCCCTGTCTCAGCGGCACAGCACACCCGGCGATTGAACCCTGGTCCCTGCATCTGCCTAAGCAGGCACTTTAATCCGCTGAGCTATCTGGCCGGGCCTCTGCCCAGCTTCTTATTGTGTGTGAAACTACAGCTCGGTGCCAAGGTATTTAAGAACCTCAACGTCTTCTCCTCGGCAGTGGAGGCAGCCCCTCCTCCACCGTGTTAGTGCCAGGACTAAGTTAAAGGATTAAGTGCAGACCTGTGACAGTTGGCCCTGGACGTGTAAAACAAGGAACGCCAGGCTACTACGGCGGGCCTTGCATGAGGCTTAAGTTTAAAACTTTGTTAACTTTGCTGTTCTGCTGAAATTAGCTTTCTCTTTTGTCATCTCAGAAACGTCCCTTTTAAATAAAATGCTGACTATATCTATTTATTTTTCTCTCCCTGGCACTTTTTAATGTTATTCCTTTTATTTTTTTTTTTTTAAAGTATTTGTTGCTTGCTTCTGTTTTACTGTTTGGTTGGCTGGTTTTAATGATCTTGGCCAAGCGAAGAGCTGGCAGTCTTAGGATGATCCCCCTCCTTTTTTTTTTTAAGTGTTACCGGTCCATGATATCCAATAGTCTGGGAACTGCTGTGTGAAATGAAGAAATGTATGAAAAATACTTAGTACAGAGTCCAAAGCGGAGAGCGTGTGTGGATCAGAGCAGCCGCGTATCAACACTGGGGAAGCGATGATGAGGGTGATGGTGGGGATGACGCCGACATGCATGGCCAGGACTCGTGTAAAATGAAACTAGGCACTCAGGGAACCCCCAGCGTGACGTGCTCTAGGGATGAGTGCCAGTGAGCTTGTCCAGCCAAGTGGCTGGGCACAGCCTCGTACACCCAAGGCCTGAGGAAAGGGATTGTAACCCCATGTCCTTATCCTTCTGGGGGCCCAGCTAGAGCATTGCCCAGGAATAAGCAAAGTGATCGCCCAGGGTCACCAGGACGGCTAAGCCTGGTTGCCAGTACCCTCCACACTGGAGGGCCCCAGCCACCTGTGTCTCACTGTCAGAAGCCCCTGCCATGGACCGTCTCGGCCAGGTGAGCACACCACACGCCTGCTCTCCAGCCGCCTTCCTCCCGTGCCAGGCTCTGGAGCTGTCTGGGTAACTAGATCCCAGGACCCAGCTACCATAGGGATGGCTCAGAGTCACGCATGCAGAAGGTGGCCTCTCGCAGAAGGCTCTGCCTTCCCCCCACCCAGCTGTGGTGGAGCTCCGTGGGCTAAGGAAGAACCGACACAGAACATTTAGGGAATATGTACCTTTTCCTGCCCCAGCCACCTCCACCCATTTCAGTTAACATTACAGCACAGTCCTGGGTCTGGCCCAAATCCCAAGGCCCTCACTCCTTGGTCATGTGCGTCGCAGGTAGGGGAGGACACCACCCTCCAAGAGTCAGACAAGGATGGTCAGCAGCCCCCAAGAGAGCCAGCACAGCACTAGGCAGCCTGGCCACAGCAGTGTCAGAGACTCAGGCATGGCTCCTCCTGTCCTTGGGGAAGTACAGGCCAAGCAAAGCCCCATGGCCTGTGGGAAGGACTCACTATTTATAAGGACCTTTCTGTGACACCCATGATAGAGCCAGGGGGTCAAGAGCTTCCACTCCCTGATTCTCTTAATTCCAAGAAAAGTGACCCTGTGACCTCTGACCCTGAACCCACCCTCACCTCCGCACCGTGGCACTTTTTAATGCCGCTGCCTGCTTGCTGACTGGCTCTCCTGTCTATCTCCCTAGGTACATGATCACCAGCCTGGACCGCACCCACGCTGGCTTCTACCGCTGTGTTGTACGGAACCGGATGGGAGCCCTGCTGCAGCGACAGACTGAGGTTCAGGTGGCCTGTGAGTATGACAAGGACCTGGGGCCAGGGGAAGATCTGCGGGGCCCACATCCACTGGTTGTAACCTGGGAAGAGCCAGTTCCAATGCCTTGGGCCAGTGGCGGCCCTCCCCACCTGTCCAGGCAGGTCCCTGCATCTTACACTTGGCAGAACCAATGCCCAAGGACAGGATGGGTGCTCTCCAAGGTCACGCAGCAGATCTGTGGCCTATGCAGCCACTGGCTCTGTGGCCCTGTGGAAGGTCGGTCAGGAGCTCCTGGCACCCTTGGTTCTGGAATCAGGCAACCTCATCTGTGTTCTTTAAGCAGGAGTGGCCCATTGGTTGCTTAGAAGTGGGCTTTGCCACTGGCCTCAAGGGCCTCCTGCAAGTCCGCCTCGTACATGGGGAGGTCTCTTTAGAATGGGCAACTGGAAGCTTACCAGCTATTGAACTCTTTCCATCAGACTTCCCAGAGTTCCATGACTTTGACTTTCCCGTCTCCTGGCTCACTCAGCCCTGGAGCAGTTTGGGACCCAAGTGATCTTCAGGGCATTTTAGATGGAGTCTCAAGTGGGGAGACCAGAGCTCAGAGAAAGAGAAGGAAATGGCTCCCAGGTGAGCCGAGTGGGTAGAAAGTAAAGCCACCAGCCCATCCAGCCTTTGGGGGTGACAGCCTTCTCCCCACCAATCTCTAGGAAGGCTGCTCAGCTACAGAAGGGAAGACAGTGCAAAGAACCCCAGGGCCTCGGGCCTCACCCATGACTCAGCATCCCCAACTCAGACCTGTCCCTTGCTCAATTATCTGCTCTCTGCTGGAAAGGGGGTGCACTCTGGGCTGTTCCATTCTGACTCTGTGAGTGTGGGAGGTCCAAGTTCATATTTGAGGATGTGGGGATGTGAGAACCCTCCGTGAGCCCGAACATTTCACACAGAAGGACATTGCCTTGCCTAGAGTCCATGGGGCACTCAGAACTAATGCCGGCCACACTTGCTACTCAGAAGCGGTGGAGAGAGATCTAAGAGCAAATCTCATGTGAGGCAGAGTGTTTATAATAATTATGGAAAACAGCCGTAATCAAAGTGGAGGATGCTTGTCCCATAAATCAAAGACAATCCTGCTCATGCTGCAGCAGCAAAGCAGGGTTCCTGGGCTGGGAGAGCCCAAGGACTCCTTGGAGCTTCATTTAGCCCATCTGAAGGGTCAGTGTGCAGGGCCAGGTGTGGCTGGACCTTTGCAGAGACTGCGTGTGCATGCATGTATACCAGTGTGTGCAGGCATGCTTGTGAGGGTCATTCTGGCTTTCCTTTCCTGCGTACAAGGAGAACAAGTATGTATGCAAGTGCATGCACATCGACATGTGTACACACATGTACATGTGTGTGAGAGTGTATCTGAGTCAGTCTTCCTTTCCATTCACCTGTGCACTTGAAAAACCATATGTGAGTGAAAAAGTGTATCCATGCACCGCATGTGTCTGTGTATGCACATGGGTGTGTGCGTATGTCCATGTATTTGTAGTATGCAATCCCACTTGTGTGCACGCTTGTGTGTGTATGGATGCACAAGTCTGGGTGAGTCTGCTCCTTAACTGTGTACAGGAGAGAATGATATGGGGGTAGGGGGTGTGCACGTGTGTACATGTGTCTGTGTATGCAATTGGAAATGCCATACAGGACACCACAGAATTCAGGCTGTAGCAGGTGCAGGGTGGAGTTTCTGCTCCAAGCCCTGGGCTCATGGAGACAGTAGAAACTTTGCAGCATTGTGTATCCTTGACATGTGATGACACTGCCTCCTGGGTTGGCTGTGCTGATGAAAAAGGGAAAGGAAGGGAGGTCACTGTTCACATGGCTGAGATCCTCCTTGCTTTGGGCTTGATGGGGACCCAGGAGCCCCAGACTCAGGCCCTAACTCACAGCACTTACACACTCCTGCACATACAGTCGGAAACCCAGCTGGGAGACGCAGGCTGAGTGGTCCTCCCAGGAAATTGGGCCAGATGGTTTGTGGTCCCTGCCTCAGACCCACAGGGCTCCTCCTACCCCAGAGATGGGTGTGGCCATGCCAGGAGCACCTGTAGAGGACAGAAGACTTTCACTAAGGACCAGTGGTGCCTGATATTTTCCATAGGGTACAGCCACAGATCTACCCTTGAGCCCTTGGTCAAATGCCAGCTCACACTTTGCAAGCTGTGTAACCTTGGGTGAGTTTCTTAACTGCTCCATAACTCCATGTCAGGCCTGGCCAAATAGCTCAGTGGATTAAAGCACCTTGCAAGCAGGCACAGGGGCTGGGGGTTCAATCCCTGGGCCTCCCATGCTGGCCCCGCCCATGGGGTGAGCTAAAACAGCAATTGAGACTGGGCGTGGTGGTACATGCCTATAATCCCAACTCTTGGGAGGCTGTAAACAGGTGGATCACTACAAGTCCAATCTAGTAGTGAGACTCTGAACACCCTGTAGACCCTTCCCTAAAATATATAACTCCATGTCCTCACGTACAAAAGGAAATGCTACTACTAGGAGCCCCTGCTTGGCTGGGTGATTGCAAGGATTAATAAATCAGTGCCCACAAGCCATTGCAAATGGTCCCTACGCTGGATGACACCAGGGGAGAGCAGAGTGAGAGGCCCTCCAGGATGTCAGCCAGGAAAGGCAACCTCACATTGACAGCCTTCCAGTCCATCTGTCCAGGTGCCTTTCCTCTGCTCTGCAGGGCTGGAGCCAGGGGAGGCGGATGGTGTGGAAGGTCCACAGTCCAAGGAGGCCTCTTGTCCAGTTTTCAGCCTGAGCTTATGTGACCTGTGAGTGGGAGCCTCCTTACTTCCCTGCTCAAGCCTGCTCTGCAGCTCTCCCAGGCTCTTCTCCTCTGTCTTCCCGTCCCTCTGCTTGGTGAGGGCACATAGGGCACAGCTGCTTCTTTCGGAGCCTCCCCCTCTCTGGCTCTTTCCTCTTCCCCTGAGAAGGTGCTGCCCCTGTTCCCCGAACAGCCAGGACCCCGGTTGCTACTGCCCTTTGGGCCTCTTCCTGGGATCACAGATCCAGGCAGGCTCCACCCGGCTCCCAGCCCTGCCCAAAGAGGGCCTATGAATTGGGTTCTAATGAGAAATTAATAAGGCAGCTGCACTAACAACTAATGATAATGGCAAAGTCGTTACAGAAAGATTCTTTACGTGTTTTTAATTACAGCAATTAAGAGGAAGTCAATAAAACATTCCCCCCCCAGCACCCTTCCTGTCCCCATACAGAGCCTCTTCTTTGTATTTTTAAAGTCACCATAAATTTCTGGCAGTCAGTGAGTGTGGTGAATGGCCGGGAGGGTTAGAAGAGCTCTCCGGCATCCACAGACTTCCCCCAGCCTGCAGTTTGCCACCTCCACGTCCCGCAGGAACCTTCGTGTTCTCAGCTGAGTGATGCCCCCAGCCCCACCCTAGGCCTCAGGGACACTGCTCAGATTTGGAAGCACCCACCCAGCACCAGACCCAGCCCGAGTCAGGGTCCTGCCTGACCCTAGAGCCCGGCCCTCTTCTCCTGCTCTCCCGCAGCTTAGCAGCTCCTCACCAACAGTGGGAAGGACCTGTGGGATTGGGTTCAGTCCTGGGAGCTGGGGCAGTGCCTGAAACACCTTTTTGGGCTGCTTTCCCTGCTTCCCTGTCTGAGGCGTGAGTACTGCTGCAGGGCATCTGGGATATACAGCAGCTGAGGATCCCCCCATGGCATCTGTCTGGTCACCCACTCTACCTGACCACTTGAATCACTCTTCACCAACTGTCATAACTACATGGTGCCCTACTATAGACTGAAGTAGTGAAGACCCAACAGGGGATAAAACCAGGACACCTGTCCCCGTCCTCAACAAAAGTAATAGGGAAGCAAAAGCTAAAAGATGGCTGTAGGACATAATATACGAGACCCTTACAGGAAAATAGAAGAAAAACAAAGACAACTAAGGGGCTGGGGGTTGATGCAGGGCTCTTAATTGATACTGTTTGGAGGGTGACAGTGAGTCTCAAAGGAAGAAGGGAAGATCATTCCCGGTCAGAGACTCCTCGGGTCTGAGGCCGGCTGCCGAGAGAGGAATGAGGAAGCAGAGAGTGGCAGGAGGTGAGCTAGGCAGATGGGCACCCTAAGCCATGGTCAGAATGAGGTGAAAGGGACCGGGAGAGAGCCTAGTGGCGTAAGTGCCTGCCTGGCAAACACAAGGTCCTGAGTTTGATACCAACTCTGATACCAAAAAAAAAAAAAAAAGAGAATGAGGAGGAAGTCTTGGAGCAGAGTTGTGACAGGGTCTGGTTGGAAGCGAGACTTTCATGACAAATACAAAAAAGCACAATGAAATACTATTCCACGCCCCCCAAACTGGCAAAACCCAAAAGTCCAACCAGACCACGTACTGGTGGAAACCCACATCCGCTGGCCACAGTATAAGTTGGCAAGAGAGCCATCGAGATAGCTCAGCAGACTAAAGCACCTGCTTAGGCAAGCTTAGGCAAGCGTAGGGACCATGGTTCGATCCCCGGCACCACATGGAGCACCGTCCCTCTCCCAGGGCGGGCTGAGCTGAAAGCAGGAGGATCGCCAGGAGTCCAAGCTGCATAGTGAGACCCTGCAACAATCAAATACATTTAAAAAAAATAGTAATAAGTTGACAAACTAATGAAACTTGAGCAACTTTACATAATGAGTAAAATCAACATACGCATACCCTACAGCCCAGCGGCTCTATTCTGGGGCATAGCCCCTAAAGATCCTCCCAGCTTGTGTGCCAGAGGCCCCCAAGAAGCCATTCCCATTCTTATCAGGAGAGCAAAGCATGTGGCTTTGTGTCCTGTGGAATTCCGCACAGCCACAAACATGATTAACAGAAAGACAAGGCCTGGCTAAACTGCCACAAAAATCATGTTGCCCCAGAAAGCATACCACAGAAGGCTACCTACAAAATAATCCCAGGATAAGGGCTCAGCAGCTAAATTAGCTACGCATTGTCCCAAGAGGCGGCTGAACGTAGGGAGACAGAGAAG